GAGAAATCCAATATACATATACATATATATATATATATTTACAAGTCAAGCTCAATTGTTTACGATTTGAGCGCAAAGTGTTGAGAATATGTTTAATGAATAAGCGTGAATATCGAATATGTTACAATAACAACATAAAAAAACAAAATCCAAACTGAATTTATGTAATTAAAAAAAAAAAACAGAAATAAATAAATATACATAAATGCAAAATGAGATCCCGATTCAAATGGAAATTCCTATGCAAAAGTAGCGCGTATTCATGTGAATTACAACAATTACATATATACATGCATATATCTACTTAAAAGTACTCGAAAATTTATTGAAATCAACATGTCATAGCCAGTGTTCTGTGTATTTGATATAATTAGAAAAATTATCTATATATTGAAAATAAGACCAAAACCAAAACTTTTTTTTGGCATTTGAATATGCATAAGCACTATATGCTCTATCTCTCTCTCTCTCTCTCTCTCTCTCTCCCTCTCTCCCTCTCTCTCTTTCTATGTCAAATCGCAGCTAACTTAATAAGTTGTATACATTTCATTTGGCGTTGCCAGATCAATCAATTCGTTAGCTTTTTATGTAAATACATGTAATTAAAAAAAAAAAAAATGGAAATAAAAGATTTTGGATATAAAAAACAAAGCAAGGCCATACAGAATTGACTAGAGCGCCAAGATGTTGGCGCTAATTTAAGGCAAATACCAAATAAATTTCGCTATGGGTTCTTCAAAAAACTTGCTATATACTCGTTAAAGACACAAAAACTAATTATTTATTAATATACATTCATCTATATATGTAGATATATACCTATATAGATTAATACTTTATTCTGGAGCTTAAGGTTGTGTCCGCTGTATACGCCGCTGCAAAATTTACATTTTATTGATGTGAGCTAAAAAAGAAAATATATTTGTACTCATCATTTGAGAAATAGTTGCAAATCGGTGTTCGAACATACATACATACATACATATATCTTCCGCGGCTTACATTACGTTTCCGTTTTCTCCTAAGTTTTAAAGTTAACAATTCGTATATAAGAAAAAAGTATGTGGAAGAGTCGAAGCAAAAAGACCCAGATGCATGTTGTTGAGAACTAAATACAGAACTTAATCAATGGGTATGCATAACAATTATTAAAATATATTTAAAAAAATAAAAATAAAAAAAAAAAAACATGTGTATACATATGCGTACACACATTAATATATATGTGCATATATGCATATAAATATATGTTTAACAATACGTGTCTACTATGTATTATGTATAGAATATATATATTGAAAACAAATGTATTGAATAAATGGCAAAGCAACAGAATAAATAAAAAAAAAAGACAATTTCTTTAAAACGAAAATGACAAAGAAAACAAATTCACTTTGTGTGCATTAAAGTAGCCTATACTAAAGGCGGAAATGAGTTACATCTCAAGTTTATGTTGTGCTAACGGAAATGAGAAATTAGTGCAATAACAAAATGCCAGCGCATGCTCTCAAAAGCCGATTGCAATCAGTTTTGCAGCGACACGAAAGCTGCTTGCTACAAGAGCAGGCACCTTAAGTGCGGCTACGAGCTGCTTGATACGAGACGACAGCTAGCTGCCTCTAAACTATGTCAAATGAAATTTATTACTGTTTAAACACCAGTAAGGTGAAGGTAAGATTCTATGAACAAGAATTGCAGGTGAAATTTCGCACATAAATACATATACATTTGGTATGTGTGTATAATATATGACACCACGGACTGATAACAGAAAGAGGTGTGGCAACCTATATAAAAATCAATATAGAGGTAAATATCATATTCAAGGGAGTGTATGCCAGTATGGGTGCTCACGTGCGTGTGTGTGTGTGTCCGCGCAACAATAACAAACCTTAGCACAAGGCCAAACAAATAAGCGTACAATGTGCAAAAGTACCAAGCTCAAGGTTATCGCACTAGCCACAAGACATAGACGACTCGGCAATACACTACAAAGAATTATATATAATATT